TGAAGGCATTCTAAGGCTTGTGGCTGCAATTGTAGATGAGACGTGAGCAGTGTGGGGTGGGAACCGAGGAGTGACCTGTAGAATTTAAGTTTGACAGGGTTATTCCAGCTGCTGTTACAGACTGTAGGGAGCCAGGATGGACACAATTGTCCAATAAATTAATGATTTTCCCTGCCACTAGCTGTAGCTGCGATATATCCTAAACACCAAGAAGAATGGAGTGGATTTAAAAATAAATAAATAACTGCTGACTCTGTTCTGATGCAGGACCAGCCCATGTATGTCAGAGCAGACCTGTGCTCCACAGGGCTTTCTCTCGTTTTCTCCCCCCACCGCCCCCATGCTGGACATTGGGTTTTTCCTAAGAGATTCCATAACTGTCTGATCATAAAATCCTAGCTTGGTTCAGAGAATCCAAATACGATGTCATTTAAATGACCAAATAGTTTTAAGATTCTTTTTCCCAAGCTTGACTAGAAATCATATAGTATGGAGTGGTTTGGTAAGAGTACGTTTCAGGAAGCTCTGACCTTCATGGGGGGAAAGGCGCTTGGATTTCAACACAGGCTTGCCACAGCTCCTGCAAACATGAATGTTTTCAGCCCAAGATGCCAAGTGGGTATTGGTGGAAGGATGCATTTTATTTTTATGTCCAGCTCTGTACCTGTGAGCCCAATTTTGTGGTGAGTTCTTTGGCCTTCTCTGTTTCCAGCTGGGTAATCTGAGCCACAGATGAGCTTCTGGGGATGCTGCCTCCCACACTGGGCTGATCTCAGCATGTCCAAGGTTGCATATGGACCTGATCACTCCCACCCACATATGCAGGGGTCCTTAGTCATCATGTGAGGGTGATGGTGGTCTAGGTCTTTCTGTGGGTTAGCCAGCCCAATCTGGCTTTGCCCTTGGAGAAGACACGCCCGTTTGATAGCACAAGGTGGGCAAGAAGACAGCTCAGTGGTGTCCCCACCCTTGGTAGTCACCCAGCGGGGCCTTGCTTTTCATCACGGTGGTGATGGAATGAACCCCAGGAGGTCTCGTAGTAGACGCGCCCCTTAGTCAGCACCTGTCTTCTCCTCCGGCGTGCTTAGTCACTGTTGCTGTGTTTGCTGTGTCTCTGGGCTGTACTGATGAGCCAGGCTCAGCAGGGAAGAACACCCTGGCAGCCCAAGGCCCGTGCCACCCAGTTAACAGCAGGGGGCAGCCGGGCCCTTGGATAAAGTGAGGGAGGCTTGTTGGCTGTCCTTTCCCATGTAGAAGGTTGTGGGCCTTTTCTCTGACAACTGCAGAGGCTGCAGCCACCTTCTTCCCCTGGCCTTCTTTCCTCTGGGCATTTTGGGTGGCTGGACAAGAATGCTCCACAGGGATTTCAATAGCATTTCTTCTGAGGGACTCTCTGTGGATTGGAACTGTTAACCTTTCCATTAGCACCTGAGCACCTAACAGTTTGCTCCAGCCAGGGACTCCTTGGGACCTCCTAGACCATTGCTTCCTAAAGTGGGTGGTGATACCAGCCCTTGTGGGGCAGGGGGCAGCGTTGTTGGGACCATGCAGGAAGGGCGGCAAAAGCCGTTCCCTGCGCTTTATCCTGGATTATAGACTGTTGTACAGTTTTTCATTGCTCGGGAAACACTGAGCAGCCCTGCTTCCCACCCTGCCTCCACCCACAAAAAAGGTGGGGCAATAGGGCAGATATGTTTGGAGCTTATGTCCTGGACCCTCAGTAAATGTTTGATGTGAAAAGAATGTCTTACCGGGTAGGACACATTGACCAAACTCACTGCCCTGTAGGGGATGTCAACTCATAGTGAGCCCTGTGGGTTTCTGAGACTGTGTACAGGACTCTCTCTCCCTGGGAGTGGCTGTTGCCATCGGCGGTGGTAGGTACTGGATTCGAACTCACTGGTCTGTGGTGCTCACAGGAGGAGTGCAGGCTGGGACATGGGCTGTGCGGGAGCCCCCTCAAAGGCGGTTGTGTCCTTTGAGGACTGCGTGGAGCAGGTTGAGAGGAGAGCACAAACAGCCCTTCCAGTGGGGAGCTTGCTCAGGGGGAGTGGGTGATTTCTGTGTCACAGCCCCAGCCGCGTGAGGGGCCGAATCCGATGGACCTTGGTATTTCCGGCCACACACTACTGTGGCGATCATCAGTTGCCCTGGCAAGACTAGCTTCCAGGAAATGGTGAAGGTGGGTCTAAGAAGAATGGGGCAAGATTGGAGACAGCATGGACAACTGTTTGCGAGGCTTTGACACAAAGGGGAGCAGAAAATGGAGCATCAGCGGGTGGCGCATAAGTGCTGCTCATTTTTGTGCTTAAGCGGGAAGGGGAAGGACAGGTCTCTGTGTAGGTGGGGATGATGCTGTTGAGAAAGGGGACATTGGTGGTGTCGGAGCAAGGGGACGCGCAGGTGCAGGGTTGGCTTGATTTGAGAGCACGGACAGCAACTGTCCAGGTCCAGGTTTCGGGAAGATGTGCTGGTGGAGCCTGAAAAAGGCCTCGTTCGTTTGTATCTTTTTGCCAGGGACACAGGAAGCAATGCCACTAGCTGTGAGTGGACACGAAAGAGGAGGTGTCACGTCACCATCTCAGAGAGAGAGACTGACCAGACTGGAAATGTAGCCCGAGTTTCCCTCAACTACTAAGGGCCCACTTGAGGCTCAGGATCAAGTACTTTTATTTTAACTTTTTACTGTGAATTACGTGGGAGTGTACATATCCGAACAGCATTTTTTCAATTTGACACCTTATTAAACCCTTCCGTGGTTTGCCCTACCCCATCTCTCGCCCTCTTGTAGGGCACTGTCTTCTCCGTCACTTCCCCTAGCTGAGCACTCCCCCTCGAGCCGTGATTTCAGCGAGCATCGCGCTGTGGTTTTCTGCAGCTATGGAGAAAACTATGGATGTGGGCATGGAAGAGGCAGAGGGTTCAGTTTAACTAGAGCTGTAGTTTTTCCAGTCCAATGCCACAAAGCGGGAAAGGGCGTGATGGGTGAGGACGGAGCCAGGTTCTCGATTGCGGAATTTAAGCTGGGCAGTGAAGGAAGGGCAGGTTTCCTGAGGGTGTGGGGTGTTAAAAAGTTGGTGCAATCCTTGGGTTGTAGGTCCACTGGGGCCCGAGGTATTATTGAGGTTGGGATCATGGGAGGGAGTGAACCGGACAGCTGGGAGGCGGTGGCTGCAGAGTGCTTGGCCCGAGGAGAGGTGGAGGCGATGCAGTAGTTGGTCATGAGAAGGCCGGGAGTGAGTGATGACGATGACTGAGGTCAAGATGTTGGAAGGTTATTGGTCAGGCTTTTGAAATCACTAGGAATTAAGACAAGTGTAGTTGGACAGTGACAGTAAGGCAGGTGACGTCAAGAGGTGGTGTTGATCCTTTAAAAGTCAGCGGGGGCGTGGAAGGTGGAAGTGGTGGTGGTGCTGAAGAGGAGGGACTACCTCAACCTGTGGATTCTCCCAGATGCCTTTACCTGTCATCCTCACAGAGCGTGGGCCGCCCCTCATTTCACCTTTGAAGACGTGAGGGGGCGGGGCGGGACATGAATGATGAGACGGTAGTTCTGTATCTTTGTTGAAAAAGTGCTGAAGACTGAAGAGCCCAGGATCTTTGACTCCCCCTTAAGTGAACGGGAGAGAAGTTAGTCCTATTTGGCTCATGGTTTAACTTGATGATCGTCCCTAAGACTGAACATTACTTTCCATCTGAGGGAGGGCAGGCTAGCTGTGGGACAGTGGTGTTCATTACGCGCCACTGGTTGGCTCAGAAGAGAGAAATCAGCACGAAAGCTGGGGACGTTCAGGCTTTTTATCCCATTAGCTTCATAACTTCCCTCTAGAGTAAAAACAAAAAGTTATATTTTCCCTTGATTGTTAACTTATCAGTGATACATAGATTTAAATTTTAAAATGTCGGTCCTTAAAAGTAAGAACCACTTGAGGTTCATGGGTTTGATATATAGATTTGTAAAGAGAGAGAGAGACCACACCAATGCTGGCATTCCTTCTGTTTTTAAAACCAGAGCCAAGGGCAGAAGACTGACCATCCAAAATGCCATTCCACAAACACAGCTGTAACATCTGACATTCTTGGGCTGCATAGTTGGTGTTTTTAATCATACTGTATTTATAGTACTGTAGCCTGCTTTTTTTAAACTGAGCATTTTAATATGCATCTCCCCTGTTACCACATAGTGCTTGAAAATTAGTTCATCATGTTGTGTTTCCTTAGAGATCTCTCTATCACTTCTTCATTGTTGTAAACAATGCTATATTGACTGAACAAAGAGTTTTATGCATTTGGGATTGCTTTCTTACGATAAATTTCTAGAAGGTTAGAGTAAAATACTTGAACGGGGGTGTGAAGTTTAGTGTTTGTCTCATCTGTGAGAAAGCACAAAAGCCAAGATGACTGTCATCAAGTCCCTTCTGACTCGTAGCCACTCTGTTCCGTGTACCGCAGTGAAGTCAGATGTGTGACTCCACAGCTGTGTGGCTGTTCTTCTGGAAGCGGAGGGCTCGACGGGCATAGAGGTAAGCTAGTGCCCAAACAAAGAAGGAGCCATTGGTCCAGAGGTGTGGTGAAGCTGACTTACAACAGATCCCAAGAAGAGTCCAAGTGAGGACTGCTCTGTTCTGGATTGTGTTTGTTAACCCTCCCTTCATGCAGTGCGAGGCTGGCTGCTTGGGGAAGAGCTCCTGAATTTGTCAGGGAGTGTAGGGACTGTTACCATAGAACAGTTAGACTCATTGAAACGTGCTTGTGGAGTCTTTGGTAACTTTTCTGAAGTAATTTTATCATCTCCCCAGCCCCCTTTCTAATTTGATATTTTGCTTTTGTAGGGAATTTGTAGCTAACCAGACTTGTGAAGTGAGAGAGTGGTCTTCATTCAGTGTTTCCTTTTTTAATTGACAGTGTCTATTACTTTTAGACATGTGCTCATAAATTTCAGATCCAGGGCAGCTCTGTGCACCCACTAACAAACCTTCCTCATCGGTGCTCTGTTTCAGGTTCAAAGACACTATTATCAATGCCAAGTATGGAGGCCACACGGAGGCAGTGCGCCGGCTGCTGGGGCAGCTCCCCATCAGTGCCCAGTCCTACAGTGGGAGTCCCTACCTCGACCTCTCTCTCTTCAGCTATGATGACAAGTGGGTGTCCGTCATGGAGAGGCCCAAGACTTGTGGTGATCACCCTATCAGGTACACCTGCCTGCTACTGGCCCCGCTGCTGCAGGCTGAAGAGCCCTGGTTTCCCCTTTTCCGTTCCCAAACACTGTTCCATGGAGACTCTCCCCACCTGTCCTCCGGCTGGGGTGAAAGGGCAGGCTGTCTCTGTGATGTGGTGTTCTCTGACCACTTAGGTACCAATCTCCTAGGTTAACTAGTTCTATCTTTTGCTTCTCATCAAAGTATCCAATTCAAGTTGTCCTCTTGAAAAATATCCAGGGAAGGAAACAGTACTTTTCCATTTAATAATCTAATATCAGCCCATCATAGTCCTTGGAGTTGAGGTTTTTTACCATGTCTGCCATAAATTATTTTATTCCCCATGTTACCTAGAAGATGCAGAGGCGTTTGGGAAGTAAGTAGGTTTCGAAGAAACCCCTGTTTCTTCTCTTTGAGGAGTTTTGGAATATATATTACTGTGTTATCAGTGGAACCTCTTTTAAGAATCGCTCTAGACAAGTCATGCCTCAGCCTTCCCCCTGCTGCGCCTGGAACCCGGCTGGTTCCATGAATGGGCAGGCGGAGGAAATGGCCCCGTCACGCTGGCAGGGCTACTCGAGTATTTCCTGGAACCCTGACCTGGAGCTGGGAAGGGCCTCTCCACCGTGGACAGGTGCAGTCCTCTTGTTTCTCACCACACTCGCTCAGTGGGAAAGACTTGAACGTCCTTCTCTGACAGGTTTCAGCCTCATACAGGAGCTGGCTTCTGCAGGTCTACTGTACCATCAAATACCTAGTCTGGGCCCACATTTCCCGTGGTCTTATAATGTTCTTTTTACAGTTTTGGGAACCAGGATGTAAACAGGCCCAAATGTTGCATTGTCAGCAGTCTTTGTTAATCGACAGGTCTGCCTTCCACCTTTATTTTTCCTTGCAGTGAAATTGTGAAAGTTGTTGGGTAATAGTTCCCATTGTATCTCAGGGTGGAATTGACCGTTGTCTCAGCCCCCCATATGTTTTTCTATAAACTTATAGTTAGATTAAATTACAAGCCATTTGTGGGCTGAGTTACCTGGGTGAGGTTGCCATGTTCTTGCACATCCGAGCGTACCGCGGGCTTGTTTGATAGAGCACCATCACAAAGGGTAGCCCTTTCCTTTCCTGCTCTCTTGTCCAGGCAGCTTGGAAAGACAAACCAGGATGTTAAATCTGGAAATGCTATTGGAGCAAAGTGGGATTTTCTCATAATTCTTATTTTTCACTTAAAATGAGAAAAGTCAGGCTACTAAAGGCATTTGAAGAAGATAATGCCATTACTCTAAATCCTTTTGTTTGATTTCCTTTGCCAGTATTTTACACCAGTTATAATCACAGGAAGCACATTTTGTAGTCTGCGTTTCTCACTGTATGTGATTTATAAGTGTTTCCACTGCTGTTGAGCCCATCCCGGCTGACAATAGCCCTACGGGACAGGGTCCATCTGCGCCACAGGGTTCCCAAGGCTACAAATCTTTGTAGAAATAGCTTCGTCTTTCTTCCATGAGGTGGCTGGTAACTAAGTACAAGTAAATAAATAAATAGAATAAGAAATAGCCTGTTAATATATAGGAAGGGGCGGCTGCAAAAATTTCATTAGCTTTTAATTACATTTTTCAATGAGCATTTTGAAACCCCCTTGTATATCTTGACATTTTGTTAAAATGTTAGTACTTTCAAATGTTAATTGAAATTAAGTTCATCTGTTTCTTTCTTCTTCTGCCTCCTGCTCCCCCTCCACCGTCGTCATCATCATCATCATCATCATGTAGCTACCTGAGAATGTAAGCTCACGCGTCTGGTGTGCACTTTACTTCCAGCTCTGACCCGGACAGTCTTGAGACAGTAGCTGCTGGGATACTTTGGACTACAACATAGGGTCATTTAAGGAAAAGAAATGACCTGATGACTCAGGACAGTATAATACGACTGATTAACAGGTGGCCCTAAAACTAGCTAATTAGACCAAGGTGACTCCACACTTTTGAGTAATAACGTGGGGCTGGCGCGATAGGAGATTTCATTAATAAGGCAGAATAATGAGTGGCCAGCTTTCCTCCGTGGTGGAGATTGCAAGGTGGCGGCGAAGACTAACCCCCTCACTCTCTCTCTGTTCTCACTCTGGGCAGGTTCTACGCCCGGGACTCTGGTCTGCTCAAGTTCGAGATCCAGGCAGGCTTGCTGGGCCGCCCCATCAACCACACCGTGCGTCGCCTCGTGGCCTTCACGTTTCACCCCTTCGAGCCTTTCGCCATTTCCGTGCAGAGGACTAATGCCGAGTATGTCGTCAACTTCCACATGCGCCACTGCTGCACGTAGCGGTCTCACCAAAGCCAGGTGACCGGTCTTCCAAGACGTCATTGCCGCCCTCTTATCTCTGTCGACCCCAAAGCAGCCGCCTCTGACCACCAGTCCTGTTCCTGCAGTTCCAGACTGGGATACCTCAAAGGAGACTGAGCAGAGAGAGGAGTTGGGGGAGGGTGGAGACCTGACAGATCAGTGTAACTGAATTTTTAAATGGTGTACAATCTAACCGCTGATGGACCTCGAGGTCTCTCGCCTTTTCCCTGTGGGAATCCCTAGCATTAATTACGTTCATTTAACTTTGGTTTTATTTTGCAATTTATTGCCGTTACGAGAGCATTACTCGGTCCTCCTCCTTTTCCCTTCGTTGGCAGCGTGGTGTGCAGCCAGAAGCAGACACAGCTCGCTTGCCCACGAGCGCCATAGATTCTCTTTCACTTAGCCAGCAAACAGGGCCATCTCTATAGGCAAATGAATCAGTGAATGAATAAAGCCTTGCTATTTTCTTACTGAAATATAGCCTGTTTGATGACCGCCTTATGTTCTGATCAAACCAAATGCTTTTCAACTACCTGGATCCCAAGGAAGCCTGTGAAAAGGACCAGAGGCCACAGCTATGCAGCTGCTCCGGGGAGACCTGCATAGCGTGTGCCAGCATCGGGGACGGTTATCTACCAGGACCGCTCCCTCCCCTAGGGTGTTCACTCGGCCCTTGTTACAGCTGGGGGATCCAGGCATAATTGTACATGCTCATGTGGAAGCATGCTCCCATCTGTGCCTTCTGTCCTGGGCAGGTGGGAGAGGAGCAGCTTGTTGGCTGTAGCCGAAAGAAACCCTGTAGCACACAGTGATTTGGGTGGTGGGAGCTGGCAAGCTCCCAGTGTCCCTGCAGAGAGCACTGGCTGTTCTAGGTGCCTGTGCCATCATATCTACCCTACAAACACCTGCCACCCCCAGCCCTCATCCGTCTGCCACATTCTTCACTGGGCTCCAGAGAGCTTGACAGATGCCTTAGATTTCAGCTTTGTGGTGCATCCCTCCTGCATATAATAGCTTGTTTTGTGACCTCTCCCATGGAGACAGCCCTGCAATCCTGGGATCTACACAGGCTGTGAAAAGGGACATGGGTGGAAGCAGCTGGATTTTAAATGCCTGCTACCACCCAGACTGACTTCCCTTGGAACCTAAGAACTGGTTTGTGTGTGTCTGAGCTCCAAAAATAATAGTTCTGCCTCTTTCGTCATCTTGAGTGTCTATGTGAATTCTCATTCAGCGTCAGCCTGTAAGTTTTGAGCACCCTTGATGAGTTAGGTAGACAGTGTGTGTATGGATTGATTTGGGTACCCCACCACCACCACCACCACCATAGCCTACCTATATTTCGTGATCTGCTGTAATTATTCTAAGTGCCATAAACCCTCACCTCTGTGATGGCTAATATGGCAGGATTAGTGGCAGGTGTGTTAATGAGGCTGGTTATAATTTATAGGATTGGTTGTATTTTGGGTCAATCTCTTTGACAATATAGAAGAGATTAAGTGAGCAGAGACTGAGGACTCTCCTACCATCTAGCAAAAATAATCAGAGTGAACTGTGTCCTCTTGACCAGGGGCCTTGGTGCTGAGAATCCCACAGACCCACGGGAAAATTAATGTCCATTTTAGCTCCCTAATGCCATATTAACCTCATACTGATCTTTATGAGCTCCATTTTATTTTTGATAATTTCCTTTTCCTAGATACATACATTCTATGTTCCAGTTATTAATGAAGTTTGCAGTTATGCTACATCAGCAAATGAAGGTCCCCAAATGTTGACTCTCCACCATATTAAATTAGGCTCTACTTTTAACCGGAGAGCCCATATAAATGGAAAGCCTTCTTCTGGGGCTAGTGTTAGGAATTCAGACTTCCAGCTTCCTCAGCTGTGAGCAAATACTTTTTTTTGTTAAAGCCAGTCACTGGGTATTTTGTTAAAGCCACACTGGATAAAGAAGACACTAAGACAGTCCTCTACATGTGCCCCACCTCCAAAGTCTCAATTTTGTACCCTTCATTCTGATCCCTGGCTTGTCTCCTTTCCACGTGCTCAATCTAGCACTCCCAAAAACAGAAAAGGCTTCAATATATTAGCCCCGCTGGCACTGGTTGGGGTCGGGTGAAAGTGCTGCAACTATGGAGCAGCTGGTGCCGAGTCAGGGAAAATTGTTTGATGCGAACGGGAGCATACTGTGTAGTATATCCTGGACATCCTTTCACATGACGCATTGGCAAGCTGAGGGCCAGTGAAAAAGAGGAGGGCCTTTTATGAGACGGGTTGACACAGACTGCAACCGTGGGCTCACACGTAACAATTGTGAGGCTGGTACAGGACTAGGCATGTTTCCTTCTGTTGTGCGTAGGGTCTCTGTGAGTCGGGAACAACTTCACTGCACCTGACACCAAAACACTGCTGAGTCCTCTCGCTCGTCTGCCAGTTTGTGGTACTGTGGTAGCTTACGTGTTGCTGCAATGTTGGGAGCTATGCCAATAGTCTTTCAAATACCAGGGTCTCCCATGGTACAGAGTTTTCAGATTGAGAGAGACAAGGGAGAAAGAACGGGCTGCCCAATTCTGAGAGATTAGCCCCCAGAAATCTTAACTTAGGTATAGTTGTGAAACAGTGCCAGAAGATGAGGCCCTCAGTTCACGTGCCACTTGAAATACAACTAGGTGCCCAGAGTAGAGGGGACCTTAGGATATGGCTGGGCTAAAGCTTCCAGAGCCCTCATTTGCTGGTGCAGACTCAAAATGAGAAGAAACAGCTGTGAGCACACATTAATAATCTGCATGTACGAGTCTAGGATAATTGGAAGTTGACGAAAATGAAATGGAACTCTTAAGGATTGCTCTCCCAGGCATCACTGAGCTGAAAGGGACTAGTCTTGGCCATTTTGAATCAGGCGGTGATATGGCTTACTATGATGGGAATGACAAATTCAAGAGGAACAGCACTGTAGTCGGTGAGAACATTGCAAGATCTATATTGAGGCGCAGTGTTAAAGTGTGATAGCATGGTATGTATATGCTTACAAAGAAATCTAGTTAATACAACTCCATAGGGTTGCTGCTTTGAGTCAGAATGATTCAATGGCAGTGGGTTGGGTTTAGGCCTCTGGTTGTAACCCTGTTTGGGATAGGGTGTTCTTTGTTACATTGTCGTAAATCAATTTCTTTTGAGATATGAAAAGATGAAGGAGATTAGAGATGGAAGAAGGTAGACTTCTGCCACATGAAGACCACCCAGGGGCCAACAAGCAGAAGCTGACACAAGACAAAGATGTTCCCCGAGAGCCCAGAGCGAGAGGGAGGGAGGGCCTATCCCTAGAGTAGGCCCCTTGAATTTGCACTTCTAGCCACCTGTGAGAAAATGTGTTTCTCTTTGGTAAAGCCCCCACT